TTTCAGAATAGCCGGAACAGCAGTGTGAAGCCTGCCGGAGGTTCGGCTCAGCCGATCCAGATGTTGGATCGGCTGAGTCGAACTCCTTCTGCACTTCGGGTCAGCCGAACATGCTGAGCATGTTCGGCTGATCCGAAGCCACACGAAGCAAGCCGATGTACGGCTGATTTCAGCCGATGTACGGCTGAAATCAGCCGTACCAGCCTGAAGTGAATAGCCGAACAGTGTTCGGCTCACTTCACTTCTGATCGGTCATTTACTCGGCTGCCCTCGGCAGCTTTGTGAATAGACCCCATAGTAAACCATGACAAAATAGAGAATAGATACAAACTGTGAGTTATAAATGTATTTTCAAAATTAGGGGAAGTTTGACAAGTTTGTTAAGAGAGTAACCTAGCAGACACTGATTTAGGTTTACATTTAGAACTATATATGTTCTAGTTTTCATTTTGACCTGGATGACTCTAAAATAAATTTCATACCTTGCAAGAGACTTTACTTCTTGATCAATGCTTAGTAGATGAGCCCTACAGAGATGTCTTGAACGGAAGATTTAAACATGCAAGGTGGATGTTACATTTCACCTACATTAGACCAATTATATCCCTGAAAATAATTCATTTATTTAAAAATATATGCTAAAAATTCTAGACCAGATGTCTGAAAGCAGGTTGCTGTGTAGTAACCACTATATTTTTGTCAGGCTAATTTTATGTTTAAAAATGGAAATTCAATTACAAGCATTTCGGTTCTATTTTGGGATTTGGTTACCTATTTGTAGCATTAATAAAACATTACTCCTTATTCTGCCAGGGCTACAGTAAAATAAAAAATATGCTTCTAGCAGTGAAGGAGATCGCTTAAAGGAGAATTGTTATTTTTTTATATATATACATAGGGGTCTAATCACGAAGCTGCCGAAGGATCTAGCCTTAGCTTCGGCTGATCCTTCGGCTAGCTCCGGCCCCAGGACCCCTTCAGTTCAGTAGAACCGAAGAGCTGCTGTACGGGCTATTCACTATAGCCCGTACAGCTCCGGAAGTGGGCCTAGTGGCTCGGTCGAGCCGCAGAGAT